GTACAGGCTTTTTCATTTCACTCTGTCAATTAGGTTAGTATTGTGGAGTAACTACAATGTTGTTGATCCATCATCAGTTCTCCCATCACTGCCATTAAACTCTGTAATTGTTTTCAAGTCACCATTGGCCTCACGGTGAAATCCCTGAGCGGTTTCCTTCCTCTCTGGCAACTGAGTTAGGATGGATGCCTGTATCTTTGTAGTGACTGAGTGTATTGATACACCATCCAAAGTGTAATTAATAACCTCACTGTCAAGGATTCTGCCGAGACTGCCCTTCCTTCTGGTTCGGGCAGGCTTCGGCGTTCGTCGTCACCGGAATACTAGCTGCTGCCGATCTATGTTTCATGTTTCTATGTTCATCTGGTTGTTGTCTAGTGTTGCACACCTGTTTCCCATTATGGTATTATGTCCTTCCCTATTTAACCTGTTCGCTCCCACTGTGTGTTGTGCGGGTTTGTTACTTGTTTCGAGTGTCGTTTGTGAGCGGGTTTGCTCCTCCCTGTGTTGGAGGCTTTGCTTGTTTCTTTACTATTCAGTAAAGTAGATTTTCATTTCATTCTGTGTCCTGCGCTTGACTCTGGCCTACCGCATTCCACAGACATTCATGACAGAAACCCGCACCTCTATGGAGTCAGCAGGAACAGCCAGATTAACCGAGACGATGGAGGAACGAGTCCAATGACAAGAGATGATGATTCAGACTCTCGGTGTCACCATGGAATGAGTGTTCCAGACGATGGAACGATGGGAGAGAGGTGGTATCCCGTCACCATCTCCAACCACTCAACCACCTACAACACTGGTCACCACTCCGCCACCTGGGTCCAGTGGGATTCGGCTCTCGCTCCTGAGGGCACCTGCCGGGTGCCAGGGATTTCTCCTCCAGGTAGAGCTCTACCTGGCCACCATTCACCCGGCGCCCTCGGGATACGAGAGCGTGTCCGCCCTCATCTCCTGTCTATCGGGGAAGGTGCTTGAATGGGCCAACGCCGAGTGGGGAGGAATAGACTCGAGAACTGTCCGTTACGAGGATTTCACCCGCCGCTTCCGGGTGGTATTCGATCATCCACCAGAGGGGAGAGCGGCGGGTGAACGTCTGTTCCACCTACGACAGGAGATTAGGAGTGCGCAGGAGTTTGCGCTGGAGTTTAGAACTTTAGCAGCCAGCGCGGGATGGAATGAGCGGGCCATGATTGACCATTATCGTTGCAGCTTAAGGGAGGACGTCCGTCGGGAACTGGCCTGCAGGGATACCGATCACAACCTGGACCAACTGGTGGACATGTCCATCAGGTTGGATAACCTGTTGGCAGCCCGCGGACGTTCTGATCGGGGGCTATCCATTCCATACCCCAGCACCTCCGAGCCTACCCCCATGGAGCTCGGAGGTGCTGCGGTTAGGGAGACGGGGAGAGGGACCGTCCCTTGCACCAACTGTGGCCGCAGAGGACACACTGCTGGTCGGTGCTGGGGAGGGTCCTCAGGAGGTCGAGGCAGCAGGCAGAGCACTGGTCGACCGTCTCAGGTGAGTAGGCACCCGACTCACCCAGAGCCCCCTGTTGCTAACCTGTGTATTGATATTGTTTTTCCAGAGTTTTCCCCCCATTCCCAGCATAAGGCGCTAGTAGATTCAGGCGTGGCTGGGAATTTTATTGATCGCCAGTATGCTCGTAGTTTAGGGATCCCTACTGTGTCTGTTGATAAACCTTTCCCTGTGCATGCATTAGATAGTCGCCTGTTAGGGTCAGGCATAATCAGGGAGGTCACCGCTCCACTTCTGATGAGGACGCAGGGGGGTCATGAGGAGAGGATTAGCCTCTATCTGATTGATTCTCCTGCGTATCCTGTGGTGTTGGGACTTCCCTGGTTAACCATTCATGACCCCACGATTTCATGGCAACAGAGGGCTCTCAAGGGATGGTCCGGTCACTGTTCAGGGAGGTGTGTAGGAGTTTCCTTGGGGGCAACTACGGTGGAAAGTCCAAACCAGGTTTCCACTATGCACATTCTTGCCGAGTATGCTGATTTGGCTATCGCCTTCAGTAAAAAGAGGGCGACTAAATTACCACCCCATCGTCCGGGGGATTGCGCGATAAATCTCCAGGTAGGAGCTGCACTTCCCAGGAGTCACGTGTATCCTTTGTCTCAGGAGGAGAGAGCGGCTATGGAGACATATGTCACCGAATCTCTGAGACAGGGATACATTCGGCCATCCACTTCACCTGTCTCCTCAAGTTTCTTTTTTGTGAAGAAGAAAGATGGTGGGTTATGCCCGTGCATTGATTACCGTGGCTTAAATCAGATTACCATCAAGTACAGCTAACCATTACCCCTGATAGCTAGTATGACGGAATCATTGCACGGGGCACGCTTCTTCACAAAATTGGATCTCAGGAGCGCATACAACCTAGTGCGTATCCGGGAGGGAGATGAGTGGAAGACGGCATTTAGTACCACCTCTGGACATTATGAGTATCTTGTCATGCCATACGGGTTAATGAATGCTCCATCAGTTTTCCAATCATTTGTGGATGAGATTTTCAGGGACCTGCACGGACACAGGGTAGTGGTGTATATTGATGACATCCTTATATACTCCACTACAAGGGCCGAGCATGTGTCCCTGTTGCGTAAAGTGCTTGGAAGACTGTTGGAGCATGACCTGTATGCTAAGGCAGAGAAATGCCTGTTCTTTCAGGAGTCCATCTCCTTCCTAGGGTACCACATGTCCGCGTCTGGGGTGAGGATGGAGAGTGACCGCATTTCGGCCGTGCGTAATTGGGCGACTCCAACCACGGTGAAGGAGGTGCAGCGATTCTTGGGGTTTGCCAACTACTACCGGAGGTTTATCCGGGGCTTTGGTCAGGTAGCGGCTCCCACTACCTCGTTGCAGAAGGGGGGACCGGTGTGTCTGCGGTGGTCAACTGAGGCGGACAGGGCTTTTAGTCACCTGAAGGACCTGTTTACCTCGGCTCCAGTGCTGGCTCATCCGGATCCCTCCTTGGCCTTCACGGTTGAGGTGGACGCGTCCGAGGCTGGGATAGGCGCTGTACTTTCTCAGCGCTCGGGCACGCCACCCAAGCTCCGCCCCTGTGCTTTCTTTTCGAAGAAGCTCAGCCCGGCGGAGCGCAACTATGATGTGGGGGACCGGGAGCTGTTGGCTGTGGTCAAAGCCCTGAAAGCGTGGAGACATTGGCTTGAGGGGGCTAAACACCCTTTTCTCATTTTGACTGACCACCGCAATCTGGAGTACATCCGAGCGGCGAAGAGGTTAAACCCTCGCCAGGCAACGTGGTCCATGTTTCTCACCCGTTTAGTTTTCACCCTTTCTTACAGGCTAGGCTCCCAGAACGCTAAGGCAGATGCTCTGTCCTGACTGTATGAGAGTTCCGTGGAGCCCACTCCCATACTTCCGGCGTCGTGTCTGGTGGCACCGGTGGTATGGGAGGTTGACGCGGACATCGAGCGGGCGTTGCGTAACGAACCTACTCCTCCCCAGTGTCCAGAGTGTCGTATGTACGTACCGCTGGAGGTCCGCGATCGTTTGATCTATTGGGGTCACACGTCACCCTCCTCTGGTCATCCTGACACCGGCCTCGGGGACGGCCAGGAGGAAACGGCGCGGGGCGAGTCGGATGATTTCGATGATATTCTCTCAACAAGGAGGGATCGTGGATATCCCTCCTAGGAACTCAGCACCGCTCCTCCGGACCGTAACCCTCCCACTCCACGAGATACTGCAGGCCCCCCCATCCGATGCCTCGAATCCAGGATGGAACGGACCGAGTACGCCGGTGCCCCCTCGATGTCTAGTGGGGGCGGAGGAAACATAATGATGGTCATTATGGCCAAACAGTTCTATTTTTTTTCATCAGACCAGAGGATATTTCTCAAAAAAGTACGATCTTTGTCCCCATGTGCAGTTGCAAACCGTAGTCTGGCTTTTTTATGGCGGTTTTGGAGCAGTGGCTTCTTCCTTGCTGAGCGGCCTTTCAGGTTATGTCAATATAGGACTCGTTTTACTGTGGATATAGATACTTTTGTACCTGTTTCCTCCAGCATCTTCACAAGGTCCTTTGCTGTTGTTCTGGGATTGATTTGCACTTTTCGCACCAAAGTACGTTCATCTCTAGGAGACAGAACGCGTCTCCTTCCTGAGCGGTATGACGGCTGCGTGGTCCCATGGTGTTTATACTTATGTACTATTGTTTGTACAGATGAACGTGGTACCATCAGGCATTTGGAAATTGCTCCCAAGGATGAACCAGACTTGTGGAGGTCTTATTTTGATTTATTTTGATGTCAAGCAAAGAGGCACTGAGTTTGAAGGTAGGCCTTGAAGTACATCCACAGGTACCCCTCCAATTGACTCAAATGAAGTCAATTAGCCTATCAGAAGCTTCTAAAGCCATGACATCATTTTCTGGAATTTTCCAAGCTGTTTAAAGGCAGTCAATTTAGAGTATGTAAACTTCTGACCCTCTGGAATTGTGATACAGTGAATTATCAGTGAAATAATTTGTCTGTAAACAATTGTTGGAAAAATTACTTGTGTCATGCACAAAGTAGATGTCCTAACCGACTTGCCAAAACTATAGTTTGTTAACAAGAAATGTGTGGAGTGGTTGAAAAACAAGTTTTAATGACTCCAACCTAAGTGTATGTGAACTTCCGACTTCAACTGTATGCAAACTTCCGACTTCAACAGTACATGTTTAAACCATTTCCAGAATGAGCTAGAAAGATTAGAAATCACTTCCACAATTTGCTTTTGGTATTGCAATAATCTACTCTTATCCTCAGCAGACCTACAAATTAGTTTATATTTTTCACCATATGACATAAAAAATACAATTTACATGTTTAAGCAGTTGTTTTAAGAAAAAAAACGTGGCTGCAATAAAGACAATCTTTCTGGAAAGGGAGACGGTAGAGGAGAGTGTCAGGAAGTGTATTTTTCCTCTCCTTGCCGTTGGGTTTTATGGTAATGAGTTTAACTACAGTAGAGCTTGTTGAACACCTCTGAGACCCATCTGGAGGATGGTATTCAGAAACCTTCTGCTCAACAGGTCCAGGATCCTGTAGACTCCCTCTGTCAGATGGCTCTTGATGTCTGGTTTCAGAGTCACCTTGAGGGTGTGGAGGAGAGTGGAAAGGAGAGGGAGGCGAGGCCAGGAAGAGGCAGTACCAACCAGGGCAGTGTTCAGTAGGAATGTTGCAGATAGAAATGTACAAACACAGCCCAGTGAAATTACTCTCAGGGGAGAGCTCATCTTCAAATATCTTTAAAAAAAGAAGACATTTTCTTCAAAAGGCAGGCCCCCAATAAACTGGTTTTGATTTGACTGAGAGTTTGAGGCTGGGGAAGGGGCATTAAAATTGACTCAGAAACGTCATAATGTTGGTGTGATGAATGAGATGACTGATCTGGTTTTGCCTCTTTCTTACACCTTTGTTTGTGAACGCAGCCGAGGCAGTTTTGATAGCCTGGCAGGAACATTATGTACTGCCAGCTGGAAACTGGTCAACAAAAGCACTTAGTCTACCTGGAAAGAACCATGGCAGTGTTCAACTATTGCTTAAAACAATCCTTTGTTTAATCCTTACTCAAAGAGTTTCCCATGGACTCCTACATTCCAAATCAGAAGTTTGAAATGAAATAAGTTTGGTAATATGGGTGATTGTTAAATGGGACAATTGATAGCTGTGACGAGTACTGAGGATACGAAGAGGCAGGAATTAACAAGGTCAAGGTTTACTCAAAGAGAATTAACAAAGATAGTACATGACACGAAGCAAAACATGACACAGAACAGTCCAGTGTTAAATAGGGGTGGTGATGAGATGTGCAGGTGCGCTGGAGGTGATTAGGGTGCATTGGATTTCCATTCCGGTGTTGCCGAGGTGGATGATGAACCCCTGTTTCAGGGTCTCCGCCACATACCTCAGTCTCCGCCATGGAAAGGGGGTAAATGCGACTCGTCGGGGGTGTTGTCCCTCCAGCAGGTCAATGGCGCAGTCCCAGGGCCTGTGAGGAGGGAGACACAGCCTTTACTGAAGAGAAGACATCGGCGAGATCTGCATACTCACGTGGAATGTTGGGCTGGAGTGCGGACTACGGACTCCCCACTGACGTGGAACAACAAACCACCGGCAGGCAGGTCTTCCGGCATGAGGTAGACCAGGCTGTGATACTCTTGGTGCTCCAATTGACGGTGGGGTTGTGTAGTCTGAGCCAGGGCAATCCCAAGACGATCTGGTGAAGGGGTGACGTGACGATGTGGAATGACAGCTCCTCGTGGTGCTCCGGCAGTGTAGGAATGGTGATGGTGATGGGGAGAGTGACGTGCATAATGGTGCCTGATCCAAGGGGTTTATTGTCCAGTGAGGTGACGTGTAGCGGAGATGGCAGTGGCACGGTGGGCAACCCCCATTCAGAGACCAGCTCCCCATCTATAAGGTTCCCTGCTGATCTGGAATCTATCATAGCAGTAGAAATGGAAGAGAAGGAACAACCAGACACCGTTATGGGAACTAAAAACAATAGTTTTGTGATAGGAGCTGACGTAACACTCACAGAGCGGTGACGGGAGTCATACTGCCTAGATAGGGAGCCGCCAGGAGATCTGTGGTCCGTGGTGGTGTAGGGGGTGCTGCCCACCTCCATGGGTGAGGACTCGGAAGCAGGGCGGCTTCCATAGCTCAGATGGGGTGAGCGTTGAGACTCTGGGAGGTGTTGGGAACGCTGTCTCTCTCAACATGTCGTCAAGACAGATGGTATCAAGGTCCATTTCGTCATCCCGACATGCGAGTTCCATCTTGATTTCCTCCCGTAAGCCTCTCCTGAAGGCCGTGCGCAGAGCACCCTCATTCCAGCCGGAAGACGCCGCCACCGTGCGAAAGCTCAGAGCATACTCAGACGCGGGCCCCTCTCTCTGTTGTAGATGGAGGAGACGCTCACCCCCGTCCTTTCCCTCCGTGGGATGATCAAACACCGCCCTGAACCGAACGAGGAAGGTGGGGTAGGGTAGTGCCACTGCCTCTTCTCCTTCATGAGACTGCCGTGGCCTAATCCAGCACCTTCCCCTTAAGAAGTGAAATCACCAGTGCTATCCTGGCTTGGTCAGATGGATATGCCTCAGGCTGACGCGCCAGATAAAGTGACACTTGTAACAGGAAGCCTCTACATTTAGTAGTTTTACCGTCAAAGCGCGCCGGTAGGGCGAGGGTTCCCGCAGAAGTGGGTGATAGCCCGGGGACAGGTGGATTGGAGGCACTCGCGCTCCCTGAGGTGGGACCGGAGCACTGGGCAGATTATGCAGAGTTTGGAGCACTTCCTGCATGGCGGCGTTCAACTGGGCTAGCTGCTGCTGGTGCTGGTCGAGGCACTGGGAAACTCCTGCTGCATCCATTTTCGTTTGGTGTGTGATTCTGTGACGAGTACTGAGGATACTAAGAGGCAGGACGCAGACACAGGAATTAACAAGGTCAAGGTTTACTCAAAGAGAATTAACAAAGATAGAGCACATGACACGAAGCAAAACAATCACACAAAACATTACACGGAACTGTCCAGGGTTAAATAGGGGTGGTGATGAGATGATGAGGTGCAGGTGCGCTGGAGGTGATTAGGGTGCGTTGGGTTTCCATTCCGGTGTTGCCGAGGTGGTGCGCTCAGACCGGCGAATCAGAGCGCCGGAGGGGAGCAACGGGAGGAGACGTGACAATAGCGACAGCATTTAAAGTAGTAGTAGTGGATTTAAGGGTAATATGAAAAAAATTACTGTAGTTAATGTTATAAACTTATCGTTAAATATATCGTTATCATGATAATTCAGTCAATTGAATGCATTTTTGTTCATATTGCCCAGCTCTACTAATCACCATCTTCCTTGATGATGAGAGAAATCCAGAGAGATCTTACCTTCTGTAACTTGCTGACGTACTGTGCTACCATGAAGGAGGAGAGGATAGTGAAGCCCCTGGTTATGGTGGCACACTTCAAAAGCACCTCCGCATCACTCTCAGGGGATGGGGAATAGAAGAGGAGAGCTTTTTAAGAACTAGACCACGCCAGACGCTGAGGGTTCAACTTTTATTTCAGACAGAACTTCAGAAGTGGGACAACTTCTACAAAATTGTGACTTTTGAGTGATGCAGCACAGTGGGTGTTCAGAGTGCACTCTGCTCCTGACCCAGACGTGGGCTGGATATTACTGATGACAGCACAGCATTTGAATCAAATCTCCAGGTTGCGGCTGAGAATGAATATATTGTAAATGCATTGTGACGGAGCAGAACAACAAGAACAAGGTTTTGTCTCATCTGAGACATGAATCATGATAGCTAAGAGCATAATATGGAGCAACAAAAGCTATTTAATCATTCTAATTGTGTATAAACTAATGTTTATGCTCACAGTCAGCATAAAACAAACAGTATAGCCCATTAAAGAACACAAAGGCCCGGCTGGAACAATTTCTCCATCCCTGCTTTCCTCTCTTGACTGATTAGATGTACAGCAAAGCACAGCTCACATGCTGAAAGCAAACAGAGGAGAAATATGGCCACCGTTGTCAGGGTGAGAGGTGTTGTTAAACAACCCAGTCTCCATGCAATTTGTCACCTGTGAGGGTTATTATATTTCACAGCCAGGAACTGATACATGATGCACTGAACCTGATATGCTAGTTCAAATCAACAAGCTGTACCTCTCAATTTCCTCTTGTTGACCCTTCCACCTCTGCGTGGAACAGGGGAGGTCTGATGTGTGCAGAGGTGACCCCCTTTGGATGAGGAAGACGAACACTAACAGTCTTCTCATTAAGAACGCAATATATTTGATATCTAAAAATAAACCCCACCTGAAGACAATGTTGAATAATTGAATACGTAATTATTTCCTTTTCGTCAACAACGTCAGGAAGGCTTTGATGTTGAGATTATGTTGCTCCTTTTAGAAACAGGAAAACATCATGTATCCCTGAATATGCTGATCAAATAGCTGAATATAGCTCCTCAACCCTGATTCAACTAATCAGAGATGCATCCAGCAGTACAGGACTTTAAAAGGTGTCCATCCACAAGCTTAACTGGGACTCCCGCTGTGCCCGCTTTTCATGTCTCCTACAACAGTTCTGTCATCCTCAGTAGGAATTTTTGATTTCCCTCACGTTGCTTTTGATCCAGTCCGCGGGGACCAGCAGGGCATACAACCAGCTACAGAAATATACCATTACTGAAGGAGAAACCATTCTTCTCCTTTCTTTCTTTCCACTGGGTGAGCTCTGCTGATTGAAATAGGCCCAGATTCATGTGTGAAATAGGCCCAGATTCATGTATGAAATAGGCCCAGTTTCATGTGTGAAATAGGCCCAGATTCATGTGTAAAATAGGTCCAGATTCATATGTGAAATAGAACCAGATTCATGTGTGAAATAGTCCCAGATTCATGTGTGAAATAGGCCCAGATTCATGTGTGAAATAGGCCCCGTTTCTTGTGTGAAATAGGCCCAGATTAATGTGTGAAATAGGCCCAGATTAATGTGGGAAATAGGCCCAGTTTCTTGGGAATATGGAGCAGGCACGACCACCTCTTATGAAACCCTGCATAATATAACATGATAAGACTCACCTATAATATACTCCTTTATCCTGAAATACTCCTGCCCTACTAACAGGACTGGTTAGCCTGCTGACAGCATGCTGGAGTCGTTTGACACTGACAGCACATCTATACAGAGGACTCCTTTGGGAGGAACCCAGGCTAAATATCATGTCAACTTCTAAAACAACAGGCTGTCTGTATCATACAGTATATTTGTCAAGGGGTGTGATGATTAAGGGTGCGCTTTATGCTGAAAAAGACATTTAGTACACATGAAGACATTTACTACACATGAAGACATTTAGTATACATGAAGACATTTAGTACACATGAAGACATTTAGTACACATGAAGACATTCAGTTCACATGACGATGGTTGGTCGCTGTTCTTCAATTGGAACCAGCAGGAAAATAGAAACTGCTGAATAATTTATAGGATGCACACAATTCCTGTAAATGCCAATGTCATTCCTATCAGTTGAGATTACAGTGAGGGAAAAAAGTATTTGATCCCCTGCTGATTTTGTACATTTGCCCACTGACAAAGAAATGATCAGTCTATAATTTTAATGGTAGGTTTATTTGAACAGTGAGAGACAGAATAATAACAACAAAAAAATCCAGAAAAACGCATGTCAAAAATGTTATAAATTGATTTGCAGTTTAATGAGGGAAATAAGTATTTGACCCCCTCTCAATCAGAAAGATTTCTGGCTCCCAGGTGTCTTTTATACAGCTAACGAGCTGAGATTAGGAGCACACTCTTAAAGGGAGTGCTCCTAATCTCAGCTTGTTACCTGTATAAAAGACACCTGTCCACAGAAGCAATCAATCAATCAGATTCCAAACTCTCCACCATGGCCAAGACCAAAGAGCTCTCCAAGAATGTCAGGGACAAGATTGTAGACCTACACAAGGCTGGAATGGGCTACAAGACCATCGCCAAGCAGCTTGGTGAGAAGGTGACAACAGTTGCGATTATTCGCAAATGGAAGAAACACAAAATAACTGTCAATCTCCCTCGGCCTGGGGCTCCATGCAAGATCTCACCTCGTGGAGTTGCAATGATCATGAGAACGGTGAGGAATCATCCCAGAACTACACGGGAGGATCTTATCAATGATCTCAAGGCAGCTGGGACCATAGTCACCAAGAAAACAATTGGTAACACACTACGCCGTGAAGGACTGAAATCCTGCAGCGCCCGCAAGGTCCCCCTGCTCAAGAAAGCACATATACAGGCCCGTCTGAAGTTTGCCAATGAACATCTGAATGATTCAGAGGAGAACTGGGTGAAAGTGTTGTGGTCAGATGAGACCAAAATGGAGCTCTTTGGCATCAACTCAACTCGTCGTGTTTGGAGGAGGACGAATGCTGCCTATTTTGGTATTGGCTGAGGAGAGGAGGGTGCCATGTCAGATGGTTGTTAGACCCTGTTCTTGGAGGTGTGGCTGAGGAGAGGAGGGTGCCATGTCAGATGGTTGTTAGACCCTGTTCTTGGAGGTGTGGCTGAGGAGAGGAGGGTGCCATGTCAGATGGTTGTTAGACCCTGTTCTTGGAGGTGTGGCTGAGGAGAGGAAGGTGCCATGTGACATCAGTTTCCAAACGAGACAGAAAGACAAAAGGAAATGGCTTCAGTTCTCAGGCTCGGGAGCTGCCATGTTCCTATCAGTCAGCGAGGTAATCGTTTCCATGCATCCTCCAGTGTTCACGCCAAAGACGTGCCCTTCTCCAGAGCACATCTGCCTCCACTTAAGCACCCCTCTGGCACAGACCAACAGCCCTTTTCAGAAGTTGATTCTGAAGTTGTTCTGTTTCATTGCCTACAGTGGGAGGCAGTGGGATGTTTTCCTTGGTTACCACCCCCAAAATATGTTCAATGTCAGGTGGAAATGGGCTAACTTAGGTGCTGGCCTGGATCCAAGGTTGACTGAGCATAATAGTCAAGGCGAATGGGGAAGGGGTAAGCCAGTCACTCCCTTGGGTGCTTGTGTGATTGTAGCAGCAGCTGTAAAGGAAGATTCTGTATGAACATTTAGGCAAACCTGTGTGACAGGTGTGTAGACAGCCGTTATTTGTCCATGCAAGTATAAGGCCTCCCAAGGGAACACCTACATAGTGTCAAAAGCCTTCAGGAGACGCATCATCACAGGGAGAAGGGAATCCTTCAGGAGACGCATCATTACAGGGAGAAGGGAATCCTTCAGGAGACGCATCATTACAGGGAGAAGGGAAGCCTTCAGGAGACGCATCATCACAGGGAGAAGGGAAGCCTTCAGGAGACACATCATTACAGGGAGAAGGGAATCCTTCAGGAGACGCATCATTACAGGGAGAAGGGAAGCCTTCAGGAGACACATCATTACAGGGAGAAGGGAAGCCTTCAGGAGACGCATCATTACAGGAAGAAGGGGAATTAGTTTGAGGGGATTGAGAATGAAAAAACATGTAGCATAGAGTTGCTTGCTATTGTCAAAGTATTGTAAATCGAATAAAGTTAATGTGAATTTGGGGGTGAAAAGGTATGATTCAAATTCTGGTCCAGCGAGAACTGTTATGATGAATGAGACTAAATATTTCTACGGGTCAGTCCGCGCCGTGGATCAGTGGACACTGATGTTTGCACCAAATTAAATAGATTTCCTGGCTGCAAGGTAAAACACTAGGCAGCCAACTGTTTCACTTGCCAAAAGAGAAACTCTAATATTCCCTTTGCTGCAGTGCACAATGTCTGTGCTAGCACCTTAGCATGCAACTGCTGTTTCCATCTACCCATCTAAGCCTTGCATTCCATTGTTTATGACACAATAAAGGAAGTACTGTTTTTCCATCGTGAACAGCAAATGAAACACAAATCAGACACTCTGTGCATGGACATATTAAAGTGGTAAGGCTTTAGATTACCGAGAAGCATGGCTTGAGTTGTGGCACAGGTGAAGGAGGGAGGAGGAGGAATCCACAGCACTAACAATGATTCATCCTCACACCCTGAGGGTGTCTGGGTAAAAGGAAAATCAGAAGGCCCTACTTGTGAATATGAAACTAATCTCCGACCAGAGATTAGAAGAGCACAAAACAGGGCTCCTTGTGTTATACTTCAGAGAAGTGATGCAAACCCCAGGCAAAATGTGCTCTGCTGTAGTGTTATCAAACTCCAGGCAAAATGTGCTCTACTGTAGTGTTAAAACAAACCCAGGCATAATCACAATGACATCAACTAAAAACATCCCCTGAAAGAACCATCCTTATGCCCAAGGATTGGGTAAAAACATGGTCAGGTGTTCAAGGGGGACAAACTGCAGGGCCCCCAGTACCATGGTCATGTAATAATATAATATAATATGCCATTTAGCAGATGCTTTTATCCAAAGCGACTTACAGTCATGTGTGCATACATTTTTTTTTTAGGTATGGGTGGTCCCGGGGATCAAACCCACTACCCTGGCGTTACAAGCGCCATGCTCTACCAATTGAGCTACAGAGGACCACACGTGGTAGGGGTTGGAGAGCATCCCGTCGCCCTGACGGAGCAGGGCAGTCAGAGTGTCCAGCGCTGGAACGGTCAGAGCAGCGGTCAGGGTTGTCTCCTTGCCAGACTCAACTAGAAACTGAGAGAAGAGGGGAGCATGGGAGTTGAACCAGAGACGAAGCCAATGAGGAATATGGATTTAAGATTAAGGACAGGCAGAGAGAGAAGTACTACATCCTGTGTGGGTTCTCAATGTGCTAAGTGTAACCCAGAGAGAGAACAGAGAAAAACAGAAATACTGGAACACCAATTGGGGTGAGACAACATTCCTGTTTGTAAGTCTTGTGGACACAGTGAGGGATTGTAGTGAGGGATTGTAGTTGTGTGTTATAACACATAACGTTAGTTCTTCCTGCAGAGTTGCAGTGAGGTGAGAGGGGGCCATATTGATAAATGAAATCAGATTCAGCTTGATTAAATGGGACCCTGCTGCACACTGAGACTGAGACTGAGACAGGGAGGGAGACACTTACTGCTGCAGCCCAAAATTGGTTTTCCCCAGCTAAACCAATTCTTCCCCCAAATCACATCCAAGACACGGGAGACAGTGCAGAGCAGGAGAAGCGTGACATGCTTTGTAACGGACAACCAGACTGTGGTTCTTTCTACAATGCCCTAAGGGGGTTTCTACGCTAAATAGGAAACACATTTACCCTTCAAGTCCATGTTAAGTCCATGCCAAAGCCAATCTAATGCTTTGTTTTGTCCCTCTTGAAGCATGGAAGCAGGTTTGTAAGTGAGGAGACATTGTATCTTTACCATAACTAGATTTTGTGTGATTCTACCTCAAATAAGATTTTAATAGTCCTCAATAAAGCACAGCACATCAAATGTCATAGTGGATACTTACTACCAAGGCAGGCATCATCTGAGGTGCAATGAGTCAGAATGCCTTTAAGCAGGTTTCTGGAAGCAGGCAGCTGGCAAGCAACTTCGTTATCGTCACAGTTGAAAGGACTTACTGCAAAAAACACAGTGTGCTTTTAGTAATGTCAACAACGCCCACAGAACCCTTTTTAGGCAAATCACTGTTGAGGAGAGCTGAGAAGAGGGGAACTTGAGTGATTCCTGTCCTGAAGCCTTTATTAGGAAAAATATATATGGCTAGGTTTTTAAGGTGGAGTTAACTACAGTTTAGTAGCCCATATATGAAATGTTATCCAGACTTCAGTGTATAAGTATTCAGGACCCCAATTGCAGTAGCTTGTACTGCTATCAGCTACCGTTAGCGGTTTTTCACCATTGTCCGTGGCCTGCACCACCTACCAGCCAGCTCTAGCCTGGACTATTATTCGGCCAGTCTGCACTGTCTGCACAGCGCGTTATCGACCCAGAACATATCAGTTTTTCTGCCGGAATCACTGAATCACTGGACCTTTAACTCCGGATTCATCGCTACCAGCTAGCTGCAACAAAATGGACGTTGTGGTTTGGCTAATCATCCTGAGCTAGGCCCATCTCCCGGCTATCTACCTCTCTGTCAACCGGACGGGACCACCTAGTGTTGACACGGAGCCCCGCCGATCCTACACGACTGGTCTGCCGACGAAATCGTCTGATGTGGTTACAACAGGCTTCTGTTAAGTGAATTATTTAACAAACTATTTTAGTGTCTCTGTGCGTCTCCCAAAAGGTTGTAAGTATTTTGGGATTTAAGTAACGGCCAGAGTCCCGGTCTGCATAGTCAGAGATATTTATTCATTGAGAATTCTGCCATCACAATTTCAGAGTCCATCTTTTATACTCATACGTCATACAAAAATAAATCCCTTCCCTCTGTAGGCGGGCTGTAGTTTTCCACTCTAAAACTGCTCTACTGACCTTCAGTTCACACACACACACATATACACACATGCATACACACATACATACACACACACACACACATATCCTACTCCCTGCTTTACTCAGTTATTGCCGTTCTCACAATATTCTGCACCATGTTTTCATAACAGTTTCTCCCCTCCCTAAATTGGGAGGCCTCTTTATCTTAGTTTCTCAGTTGTCTTTGTTGTCTGGCCTAACTCTTACTCACATTGCTAAATAGTGGCTCAATGCCATAGCCTTTACTGGTCCTACACTCACACATTTCTAACACATTATACACAGTTTCAGGGTGTAATAATTAGTCATTATTAATTAATCTATCAATTCCACCCTTTGACTAAATATTACACACATACAAAATATATGTTGTTATAGAAATGAATCACACTCATTGAAGTATATAAGTTGGTTTGCATATTAAAACATTACAGGTTCATCAGGGTTACCCCATGATTAAAAGCATAACGTTACTTTTTAGCAATGGTAACTAGTACATCATACTTAAAATGAGACTTTAATACACAAAAGATCATTACAATATCTTTTAAACTAGAGATTTATAGTTCTAGGAAAACATCCAGTCTCAAATTATCTGGATCGTCGTCGTCCTCCACCAAGCCTGGTAGGTCATATCCTTCAGTCGGAGTCCGGGATTGGGCCGTATCTCACCATCTGTTGGGAAACCGCCTTGCTCACCAACCCTCAGACACAGGGAATAAGACAACATCCACAAAGAACAAGTATACCCATAGAAGCTATAACTTCACCCAGAATAGTTACAACAATAGTTTTCCATTTACCAAATATGTTAACAAACCAACCGTTTATGGAGCTACCAATACCAGAGTTCTCAGCCAGTTCGTTCGCCAGCATGGTGAGTCCCTGAAGCGCTTTGGTCACGGACCCGTCCGGTGCTGTATTGTTTGGGGATGAAAGTACAGCACATAGATCCAAACAGAACACAAACCCCGTCCCGCTCAGCCAAAAGCATATCTAAAGCTATTCTATTCTGCCATGCTATTAAGCTAGTTGCCGCTGTCTGCTCAACTAATCCCTTTATTGCATCACGAGTGTGGTTTATAAATCTTTGCTGGTTATAGTAAATATCATTCATCCAATCTACGTTTTTATTAATTGTTGACCACCAGAAAAGACTTGATTCAAACCCAGCTGCGATCTGATTCCTAGCTTTGAATTGTTCTGGAACCCCTCGAGGTACTCCTATCCCATCAATATATATATCCTTTCATCAAAGGATCCCGGGAGGAGGTTCTACTTTCTACGTGACAACTCACCAGTCTCTGACACGTTTGATTGTTTGCGTATGTAGGTGAGTTCACAATCAGTTATCACCACACAACCATCAGATGTCAGCACGGGCCTGGTTTTGGTTCCTAAAATCCTCTGGCTGCAACAAAGAGGAGAGATTAGTCATGGTCTCTTTTAGTTGTGATATTCTCTGTGTGGGAGCAGGAGCTAAGAGACCCTACCCTGTATCCTATCTTACTAGTCCTAGAAAAACAATTAGAATCCCCTGTGATTTCAAACTGAGGCAACCCAGGTCGGGATGACTTTGTTATCGGGGGAAACAGATAGTGCAAGTTACCATAAGACTCTTTCACCACATTCCCAGGTGGCTTGCATGGAGGATAAACCTGACACAGAGTTAAAGCCTGTCAAGGGGAACAGAGTAGTTGTTAACCTTGGTTTGGCTGTCCTACAGGCATAACAGTCCTCTTTAGACCGTATACTGAATCCATTCCAACCACAGGTTAAAATCTATTTACTCCGTCTCCATCTGTACTACTTCCTTCAGGTCTATAGTTTGCACTGTCTCACTACCTCCCTCAGAGAGGTTTACTCTATAGGGTGCCCCAGTTGAAGAAGCTATCTCACTTGTCAGGTCTGTAATCTGTTTTAGCATAATTCAGACTTTCAGACAGTACCTACCCTCATATGGGTCGCACTGCCATTTCTGATAATTCCCTACTTTCACAATACTACACCTGTCCCTAAACTGTGTATGGAGATTGACATATCCCCCCCCCAGCTTGGTATAAGCAACTACATAGTCCCAGGATGTACATGGTGACATACATATGGTGATGTCCTTCCCTAAAGTCCGTAGTATTTCCCCTTTCCCTACGTCTAGCTGTCTCCTATGCCTTTTCAACTTGTGTTAGGTTAACTACCACTTCTGGCTGAAACAGGAGGGTCCGTGTGTGTTAGGAATATGGCCCCCACAATCAGACAGCTACCTACCGTCGGGAGACCTGTGAATCTCCACCCTCGCCCTGAGAATATGTCAGACGCCAGAGGCCAACCCATTGCTTTACCTTCTATCGAACTCACACAGGGATGATCAGACAGGGTAAGGGAATCTTCGTTAAGGAGCCAACCCCCGAGCCCTAGTGGTGATCGGATCTTTCTCCTAACTCTGTGTTTGTTCGTCAGGTGTAACTGGGTTTACCTTTTTGCAGTGAGTGACATGCACCAAGGTGGATCTTTCGGCGATTCTTACAGTGAAGGCTGTCACCAACAGGACCTGATATAGACCTTCCCAACGGGGCTGCTTCCAGTTTTTCTTCTTTAGGGACTGGATCCACACCCAGTCTCCTGGTTAGATAGAGTGGGTCACCTTCTCCTTTAGTTCACCTGTGGGGCACAAAACCTCTGACATACAGGTGTGGTTAATAAACTACCTTCTCAGGTGTTCTGCTAGGGTGCTCTCTAGTTCTATGTCTGCCTGTCTGGTCCTGCCAACTGTGGCATTCTGTAAGGTCTTCCAAACACTTTCTCAAAGGGGGATAACCCATCATTATCTGGGGTTACTCTAAATGTCTTCCCTTCACTCCGTGATAACTCTATAAAATCAATTTCCAATTGCTGGAAAGGGTACTTAGCCGGAGGATACTCACCCTGAGGTGCCCTTTGTCTGCCCTGGTGATTATTTTGAGCACAGATAACACATCTTGAACATTTTTTATTTTATATATATATATTTTTTTTATAATGAGTAATCCCATATGCCACAAAGTGTTGTCTAATCTGTTCTACCATCCATCCCTCCTTTTGACACATGTCACTGCCCATGTGTCAATATTATTACCTACCTAACAATCACTTAGGTAATATTGGTAATTTATCATCCAATTGCCATCCCTTATTTTTATTTATTGGTAAAATAAACAATCTTAAAGTCCTCCTCTCATGCCTTTAGAATTTACCAGTGTGGATGATTAATTAACACCAGAAAGTTAAAACAGAGTTCAGAGGCAATTGAAATTCCATCCCATAGTATACCAAACATTACCATTATTCTAAATATTTAATAAATGTTACTTATCCCAAGTGTTCATTAATCCTCATGACATTCATTCTCATAAGAAATCATATATACCCCAAACTCAGCCAAAACCTAAAAAACTCCATAAAATTCACTGTGTGCTCCTCTAAGACCTATCACCCTTGACCTGCTGAAAACCCCCCAAAATTGAAACAACAAGGCTTTATAAACATCATACTAGGTGTGTTGTTTTTTATTTGAAAACCCCAATTAAAAAACAACAACCAAACAGCCAGGTCATGAGGACTCCTGATTTCTCTCTTCCCCTTCTGCCTACAGTTTCTTAACTGGTGCCCTTTCCTTGCACAGTAACTACACGGTTCCTCACATTCTCTAGCAAAATGTCCCGTTTTGTCACAATTGTAACACTTCCACTCACTCCTGTCTCCACTATTACCATTTCCTTCTTGTCTGTCTTTGCTACCGTAACCTCTCTTCTCTCCTAGGTATTGACTAATAGTCTCACTGTCTCTAATTCAACACAAAACCCCATCATCCAAATGTACTCCCAGCAGAACTGAAAAAAAACAAAACAGACTGTGATTTCCAGGACACTGCACCTTTGTTTCTGGCCTCACTATCTCCCCGGGAATTGGCCCTCCCTCAAGGTCCCTCCCAATCTGCTCTTGGTAAACTGCAAACCTTGTATTGCTTCTGGTTTCATAGGGTATTGCTTCTGATATGGCCTATGATTAGATTTGGGTATCACCTGTACTGGAATTACCCCTTTTATTAATCCTACGTCTGCTGGACCCCGGGACCACAAATGCTCTGGAACTTCTTTTAAGTCTGACTCCTGTTGTTCTGTCAACAGGTATTCCTCTCCTCAGCATCTGCTATTCTCATCTAAATGTACTATCTGTGGATGGGCTGTGTTGATAGCCACTCACAATATTGACCCAATCAGTGATCCTCTTGCCCTTGGATACCCACTGGCCCATGTCTTTCCAGTCCTCTGCTGGCTCCTTTGCTAGGGACACATGTGGGCTCCATATTTCCCTGAACAGTCTCTGACTTTGGGGCCCTATTTCCACCTCCACTACTGCGTGGGTGTTGTCATAGTGAAACCATTTCAAGGCTATAGTCCTTTCTGTGGTTTTGAATAATGCTTTCTCATAGATTGCATCTGGACCTGGGTGCTTGTTATACCAGAGAGTACAGTGTAGGTCATCGGGGGACATTTTAGTGGGGCCTGGTACTACATCATCAGCAAGTTCCATCAAGGTTCGGGGAATATCAGTTATTCCCCCCCTAAACAAATCTTGCCTATACCAATAACATGGCTCCCCTTCCCCACAGACCACCATATTGTCTCTGACTATGTGTACTTTCATTCCCCTCTCAGCGGAAATGACAGCCACATTCAATTTAGTCATTACATCACGTCCTAGTAAATTTACCCGACACAGCTTAGATATCAGGATGGGTATGGTTGCCTCTCATCCTGATTGGTCATGTTTTAGGGTTATTGGGGCTGATAACCTTTCAATAAATTGATGACCAGAGGCAGATCGCACTATGATTTTCTCCCCATCAATCCTGACTCCATCTGGCTTGTCTGTTGCACAGGTTGCTGTCCTGCAGGCTCCCGTATCACAAAGGAATTTAATTTTCATACCCATTACTGTCAATGTCAAATAAGGTTTATGTTCCTGTTGAAGTGCTAAGTCAATAGTAGCCAATTCAAACACCTCACAATTTGGATCAAAGGGTTCCTTAGTCTTCCCCCCACTAGAGTCTACTATTTCTCCCTCAAGGACTAGTCACGCCTTATCTTCCTCTTCCTCACGCTCAAAGCTGAGGGATGGACTTCTCTCTCTCTCTTCTCTCTTTTCTCTCCTGTCTGACTTTCTCTGCCCTTGTCCTGTACTCCTCTATCTCTGGCTCTTCCTCACCTTCATCTTCCCTTCCTCCTCCAGCCCCTTCTTCCTCATAGGGAGGTGGGGCCGGTGGGGCCGGTGGGGGGGGCAACATTATTCCCCTGCACTCTCCTTCTCCTCCCTACGTATTCATCATCTGGATTTTCTCTCCATGCCTGGTCTGCCAAGTTTGGATATAACCTTTCTGCCCTCTGCTCTGGGGGAGGCACGGAGACCTCAACCTTCACTTCTCTTTCCCTCTCACTCACTTCTCTTTTCTTCCTGCCTTCTTTCTTGGCTCTGTCCTGTCTGTTATTCTGCTCATGATGGATTGCATGTCTCTCTGAGGCTATTACACAATTCAGTTATTTTCCCAACATACTCTCCGTGATCGGCCCATGGCAAAAGTGTCCTCTGGGCATCCCCTGAAACCCACTGCCCTCTAACGGCAGCCCAAACCTTACTATTCCTGTTTTGGGGTGGGTCATTCCTTCTACCGCTCTGGCCACGTCCTCTGTGTTCATGGCCTGTCTGCTAAATGGCATATTATTATTATTACTGTATACATCTAAGGTTGCTGGGGCCCCTTTCATTCCCCGCCAATATATTAGGTAAGGCTATCAGTGGGTACTGGCCCCCTCCTACTCTCTCTCTCTCTCACTGCTTATTTCTCCTTTACACACCTTATGTATCTGTTTAAGCATGGATTCGAGTTTATCTGCGTCTAGACGTCCCTCAAAACCATACCTCTCCCTCCACCTGGTTACATAATGGAGATATCTTCTATCCCTGGATTCCATTTTAATTACATCAAGCATTTCTCGTCCCCAGTAAATTCTGGGACCTCTTGTGAGGATTTGCCCCCCCATGGTTGGTACTGTTAAAAATCCCTTAGCCACCTCTTCTATATAACAAGTCAATTTAACAAGTAATTCAAAATAGCTTCACACAACAACACCTTGAATCACCCCTTCCTGTATATGTAATCTTGACTAGTCCCCCAGAATTATCTCATACTTTTACAGAGGGATTGATCCCCACAATGTAATCTTGATAATTCCTGACAGTCTCATACAATAGGAATGGGTTATCCCTCCTCTATACAACCACCTCTCCCTGTATATGTAGTCTTGACTAGTCCCCCAGAATTATCTCATACTTTTACAGAGGGATTGATCCCCACAATGTAATCTTGATAATTCCTGACAGTCTCATACAACAGGAATGGGTTCTCCCTCCTCTATACAACCACCTGGAATTATTCATGTGACTTTTGAGCAAACATTAGGTCTCACACGTATACAACCTTACATGATTATTGGTGTTGTATCGGTAACCTGGAGTTTATAAGGCTCCAGAACGGATAGAGTTACAGCAAAATCTACAGTTGTTTGTGACTTTTGACTTTACTAATATTCTATTTCTCACACATGCTACTTTAATTCCTTCTGGTGTACTTTTTGTATTTGTTTAACCCGGATTATTTGTTGACTGTTCAATAATCTCTTACAGGTTACATCCCATAGGTGTACTTTTAATAGTTCCTTCTATTTCAACACCGGGTAGTTTCTTTTGGTAATGGCCTATTACCGTGAATCATTACGGACCCACCACCAGGTTGACTAGTCCCCCAGAATTATCTCATACTTTACGGAGGAGTCTATCCTCACAATGTAATCTTGATAATTCCTGACAGTCAACCCCACATTTCACTTAAAATGGCTACGCATTGATACATTTGCTACTTTTCAATATTTTAGCAAGTCCTCAAATCAATTTCACCAAGTTAATGAATAAAGACTACTGACCTTATCCTTGCAGCCGAGATTCAATGTAGGTTTGGATTCCGTCACCGTCTCTGTCATTAATCAGGTGTCCTCTGGCCTGTTTTAACCCTTAATGTCAAAGGGCAGGACTTTCTATTTACGAATGTATCATTCGCCCGTCGACGGTTTTCAGAGTTACCTGGAATGACAGAAACAGGGTATTGGAATCCAGCTCGAAGGACCAAGCTGTTAAGTGAATTATTTAACAAACTATTTTAGTGTCTCTGTGCGTCTCCCAAAAGGTTGTAAGTCTTTTGGGATTTAAGTAACGGCCAGAGTCCCGGTCTGCATAGTCAGAGATATTTATTCATTGAGAATTCTGCCATCACAATTTCAGAGTCCATCTTTTATACTCATACGTCATACAAAAATAAATCCCTTCCCTCTGTAGGCGGGCTGTAGTTTTCCACTCTAAAACTGCTCTACTGACCTTCAGTTCACACACACACACATATACACACATGCATACACACATACATACACACACACACACACATATCCTACTCCCTGCTTTACTCAGTTATTGCCGTTCTCACAATATTCTGCACCATGTTTTCATAACAGTTTCTCCCCTCCCTAAATTGGGAGGCCTCTTTATCTTAGTTTCTCAGTTGTCTTTGTTGTCTGGCCTAACTCTTACTCACATTGCTAAATAGTGGCTCAATGCCATAGCCTTTACTGGTCCTACACTCACACATTTCTAACACATTATACACAGTTTCAGGGTGTAATAATTAGTCATTAATAATTAATCTATCAGCTTCCCATTCCGACGTCGACCACGAAGATTCCATCTGCTAGCCCCGGCCCGCTAGCACACGTTAGCCGTGGCCTCTTGCTCGCTAGTGCTTTAGCAGCCCCCGAACTACCTCCGAACTATCCTATTGCTGTTCCCCGGACCTTATGATAACTCAGCTATACAGCTGATGCCTGCTGGACTGTTCCTTTTTACGGTACCGCATCCTGTTTATGTTTAGCCTCAGCCCAAACTGTGTCGTCATTACCAGCTGTTGTCTTAGCTCTCTCAAATTACACCTGTGATTGCTTTATGCCTCTCTCCCATGTCAATATGGTTAGCTTATTGTTGTTTCGGTTATTTCTAATTGTACTATTTCACTGTAGATCCCCCAGCCCAGCTAAACCTGCCTTAGATAGCTCCTTTGTCCCACCCCCCATACACGCGGAGACCGACTCAATTGGTGCCTCCAGTGATGCTATCTCTTTCATTGTTACCCAACGCTTAGGTTTACCTCCACTTTACTCATATCCTTCCATATCCTTGTCTGTACATAATGCCCTGAATCTTTTCTACAACGCCCGGAAATCTGCCCCCTTTATTCTATGTACCCAATGCACTAGAAGACCAGTTCTTAAAGCCTTTAGCCGTATCCTTATTCTAGTCCTCCTCTGTTCCTCTGGTGATGTAGAGGCTAACCCAGGCCCTGCAGCCCTCAGTATCACTCCTACTCCCCAGGCGCTATCATTTGTTGACTTCTGTAATCGCAAAAGCCTTGGTTTCTTGCATGTTAATATCAGAAGTCTACTTCCTAAGTTTGAGTTATTCACTGCGTTAGCACACTCCGCCAACCCTGATGTTCTAGCAGTGTCTGAATCCTGGCTTAGGAAGGCCACCAAAAATTCTGAAATTTCCATCCCCAACTATAACATTTTCCGTCTAAATAGAACTGCCAAAGGGGGTGGAGTTGCAATCTACTGTAGAGATAGCCTGCAGAGCTCTATCATACTGTCCAGGTCTGTGCCCAAACAGTTTGAGCTTCTACTTCTAAAAATCCACCTATCCAGAAATAAGTCTCTCACTGTTGCCGCTTGCTACAGACCCCCCTCAGCCCCCAGCTGTGCCCTGGACACCATATGTGAATTGATTGCCCCCCATTTATCCTCAGAGTTCGTACTGCTTGGTGACCTAAATTGGGATATGCTTAACACCCCGGCCATCCTACAATCCAAACTAGATGCCCTCAATCTCACACAAATTATCAACGAACCTACCAGGTACAACCCTAAATCCGTAAACATGGGTACCCTCATAGATATCATCCTGACTAACTTACCCTCTAAATACACCTCCGCTGTCTTCAACCAGGATCTCAGCGATCACTGCCTTATTGCCTGCGTCCGTAACGGGTCCGCGGTCAAACGACCACCCCTCATCACTGTCAAACGCTCCCTAAAACACTTTAGCGAGCAGGCCTTCCTAATTGACCTGGCCCAGGTATCCTGGATGGAAATAGATCTCATTCCGTCAGTAGAGGATGCCTGGTTGTTCTTTAAAAGTAATTTCCTCTCAATCTTAAATAAACATGCCCCATTCAAAAAATACAGAACTAAGAACAGATATAGCCCCTGGTTCTCCTCAGACTTGACTGCTCTTGACCAGCACAAAAACATCCTGTGGCGTACTGCATTAGCATCAAATAGCCCCCGCGATATGCAACTTTTCAGGGAAGTTAGGAACCAATATACACAAGCAGTCAGGAAAGCAAAGGCTAACTTTTTCAAACAGAAATTTGCATCCTGTAGCACTAACTCCAAAAAGTTTTGGGACACTGTAAAGTCCATGGAGAATAAGAGCACTTCCTCCCAGCTGCCCACTGCACTGAGGCTAGGAAACACTATCACCACCAATAAATCTACAATAATCGAGAATTTCAACAAGCATTTTGCTACGGCTGGCCATGCTTTCCACCTGGCTACCACTACCCCGGCCACCAACTCTGCACCCTCCGCTGCAACTTGCCCTTTCGACTCTGTCAACCACCGCATTCTTATTGGCAGACTAAATAGCCTTGGTTTCTCAAATGACTGCCTCGCCTGGTTCACCAAATACTTCTCAGATAGAGTTCAATGTGTCAAATCGGAGGGCCTGTTGTCTGGACCTATGGCAGTCTCTATGGGGGTGCCACAGGGTTCAATTCTTGGGCCGACTCTTTTCTCCGTGTATATCAATGATGTCGCTCTTGCTGCTGGTGACTCTCAGATCCACCTCCACGCAGACGACACCATTTTGTATACATCTGGCCTTTCATTGGACACTGTGAAAACAAACCTCCAAACGAGCTTCAATGCCATACAACACTCCTTCAGTAGCCTCCAACCGCTCTTAAACACTAGTAAAACTAAATGCATGCTCTTCAATCGAACGCTGCTGGCACCCGCCCACCCGACTAGAATCACTACTCTCGACGGGTCTGACCTAGAGTATGTGGACAACTACAAATACCTAGGTGTCTGGTTAGACTGTAAACTCTCCTTCCAGACTCACATTAAGAATCTCCAATCCAAAGTTAAATCTAGAATCGGCTTCCTATTTCGTAACAAAGCCTCCTTCACTCATGCTGCCAAACATGCCCTCGTAAAACTGACTATCCTACTGATCCTTGACTTCGGCGATGTCATTTAAAAAATAGCCTCCAACACTCTACTCAGCAAATTGGATGTAGTCTATCACAGTGCCATCCATTTTGTCACCAAAGCCCCATACACTACCCACCACTGTGACCTGTACGCTCTTGTTGGCTGGTCCTCACTACATGTTCGTCGTCAAACCCACTGGCTCCAGGCCATCTATAAATCACTGCTAGGCAAATCCCCGCCTTATCTTAGCTCATTGGTCACCATAGCAGCACCCACCAGTAGTCTGCGCTCCAGCAGGTATATCTCACTGGTCATCCCCAAAGCCAACACCTCCTTTGGCCGCCATTCCTTCCAGTTCTCTGCTGCCAATGACTGGAACGAATTGCAAAAATCTCTGAAGCTGGAGACTCTTATCTCCCTCACTAACTTTAAGCATCAGTTGTCAGAGCACCTTACTGATCACTGCACCTGTACACAGCCCATCTGAAATTAGCCCAGCCAACTACCTCATCCCTATATTGTTATTTATTTTTTCTCTTTTGCACCCCAGTATCTCTATTTGCACATAATCTCTTGCACATCTAGCATTCCAGTGTTAATACTAATTGTAATTATTTTGCACTATAGCCTATTTATTGCCTTGCCTCCATAACTTGCTACATTTGAACACACTGTATATATATTTTATGTTGTATTTTTTTCGACTTTATGTTTTTTTACCCCATATGTAACTCTATGTTGTTGTTTTTATCGCACTGCTTTGCTTTATCTTGGCCAGGTCGCAGTTGTAAATGAGAACTTGTTCTCAACTGGCTTACCTGGTTAAATAAAGTTGAAATAAAATAAAATAAAAAGTAGCTTGATATCATACTTTTACAGTAGCTAGTAATATCATAACTTGTACAGTAACACTTAAGTAAATATATATCTTACCCTATGGCAGCTGCTCCTGACCTTGGAGGTATCCAGTCCATCTCCGAGCAGCAGCAGGAGAAGGTAGAACTGTTCTGGGGTACTGCTGACCAGCAGCTGGTCCAGCAGCTCCTTTACTGGCTCATCCAGGGACCTCACCTCTGATACTGACAGCCATGGGGCTGACACAGAAGAGTTATCAAAACATTAAGAAGACCTTTCTAATATTGAGTTGCACCCCAAATAACTTGGACATCTACTGGAGGGTCAGTGATGGTATAGGAAGTTAACTTGGACATCTACTGGGGGGTCTGTCAGTCAAGGTACAGGAAGTTAACTTGGACATCTACTGGGGTCTGTCAGTGAAGGTACAGGAGGTTAACTTGAACATCTACTGGAGGGTCTGTCAGTGATGATACAGGAAGTTAACTTGGACATCTACTGGAGGGTCTGTCAGTGATGATACAGGAAGTTAACTTGGACATCTACTGGAGGGTCTGTCAGTGAAGGTACAGGAGGTTAACTTGAACATCTACTGGAGGGTCTGTCAGTGATGATACAGGAAGTTAACTTGGACATTTACTGGAGGGTCTGTCAGTGAAGGTACAGGAAGTTAACTTGGACATATATTGGAGGGTCTGTCAGTAAAGGTACAGGAGGTTAACTTGAACATCTACTGGAGGGTCTGTCAGTGATGATACAGGAAGTTAACTTGGACATTTACTGGAGGGTCTGTCAGTGAAGGTACAGGAAGTTAACCTCGACATTTACTGGAGGGTATTTTACAACTATTATCAGCAGCAGGAAATCCCACAACGTACAGGTAGGTGAGCATCAATATTGATGTTACTCATATTGATGTTACACAGGAAACAGAAACCAGTTGGGACTTACTGTATGAATGTGCGGGTTGACAACATGCCTAGTAAAGTTTGCTTAACTATATATCTTTGTCTGTCGTGACTACAACGCAAAGCATATTGAAACATGGTGGCAGCGGTACTCAAAAGATCCTGGATCTCATCAATGTAAAGGAAGAATACATCCCAGGCGGCAGTTTGAAAAAGTGCAGCGCTTACAGGCTAGTCATCGCGCCGAACGTTAACGTTAGCTAGCTATCGTATCCAATAGCTAGCTGGACATTGGATACAAGCAGATTCGTGAGTAGCTAACGTTCCATTCTAAGAATAAATCGCCATGGAAAATGCACTGAAACCCAAGGGAAAAATATACTTTGATGATTGTAATTTAGCACTGACCTGGAAAAGATGGAAAGAGGAATTCAATTTGTACATGGCTCTTACAATGAGAGAAAAACCCGAGGATTACAAAGTGAAGCTACTGTATTATCTCATTGGGGAAAAAGGCAGAGAGATTTGCGAGACTCTATGTGTGGGCAGTACAAAAGACGATCTCTCTGTTGAGGAAGTAATTGCAGCCCTGGATGCATTTTGTGATCCCAAGAAAAATGAACAATTGAGAGATATAATTATTTCATGCGAAGTCAGGGCCAAGATGAGAGTTTAGACAAATATCTGTCGTAGTAAATATAAAATGTTATAGATTGGTCTGACTAAAATGTTGTGCAAGAGGTTGTGCAGGACCCATTCGTGTTAGGAGTTTGTTTTCAATAAATGCTGTTCCTGTGCAAGAACAAAGGACAGAGGGCCATATCTTGTCACCAGATGGCCTAGTCTTGCAGGAATGCGATAACAGGACAACATCCCCACCTCCGGCCATAAAACACCAGTTACTCCCCACGAGTTTCCTTTGACACACACAGATATCTCACTGTGGACGCACACTCATTCTCAACTCCCCTTCTACTGGTCGGGTGCCAAGGGCAGAGGACTCTGCCGTGCACCAATGGGGCATCTGCTCTGGACAGAGCAGACCCGCCTCCTACGCCTCGGGAACCAATCAAGGGACTAGAAGAAGGACCCCTTCCTTTATGTTACATTGTATAAAGTAATGCTGTAAACTCTGTTTAATCATTCCTTCTCAACTGTCTCCATGAGAGGCAATTGATTTGGGTCCATGCATGTAGCTTGAGCAGGACAAGATCTCTCTGTTTTAATAAACTGCCTTTTTGCATTAAGCAAATTCCTCTCTGTCTAGCGTCGATGGTTTGTACTCCCTCTCCTTATTATGTGTTCACCAACATATCTCACTGAATTGAGGACTCTAGTGGCCACCTGCAACTTTGGAGTAATCACAGACTCTCTTATCAGGGACAGGATTGTGTGTGGCACATGTGACCCACACTTAAGAGAGCGCTTACTCAGAGAGACTGATCTCAGTTTAGAGAAATGCATACAGATTGGCAGAGCTGCAGAACTGTCCAGACAGAGAGCTAAAGTCATAAATGTGCAGGTCCCTGTAGCAGTGCATGCAGTCACACAGAAAGATAGACGAGAGGGAGAGGAGACCCTACAGAGGGACAGAGCATTATACAATGCAGATACTGTGGACGGACACATGAGAGGAAAAATGAAAAATGCCCTGCATATGGACAAAAATGTAAATCCTGTGGAAAAAACAATCACTTCTCTACGGTTTGCAAAAGTGCAGGGACCAGCAAGAGAAACAGAGTCCTGGCAATGGAAAATGCGTTAGCTGACTCAGAGAGCGGTGAGGATGTTCTCTGCATCACACTAGGGCCAAAGTCAGAGAGCATCAACGTGGTGCAGGAGATAACCACAGACCCCAATGCAGCTCTTTTTGCAACCATGCTGGTCAACAAAAAGTCAGTCAGATTTCAGCTAGATTGTGGTGCTAGTTGTAATGTTATCCCTGCAAACCTCATAAAAGCCAGTCACCTAGAGCCCTGCAGTCAGGTATTGGTGATGTATAACAAGAGTACTCTGACGCCACTGGGGAAGAGCACACTTAAAGTGATCAATCCACGCAATAAGAAAATCTACCGAGTTGAGTTCATCGTAGTCAACAAGAATGTGCACAGGCCCATTCTATGCAGTAAGGCTATCCAGGCAATGGAGTTGATTACTGTGCAGCATCACAACATCCTGGCCATCGAGAAAATAACAGGATCCTGGACTAAAGAGCAAAGTAAACAAGAGTACTCTGACGTATTCCAGGGAGATGGATGCTTATCCGGCAAACTGAAGCTGGAAGTGGATGAGCGAGTGGAGCCCGTCCAGCTGCCAAAGAGAAGAGTGCCAGTAGCACTATATAAACCACTCAGAGAGGAGCTCAGTGGTCTAGAGAAAAGAAGGATGATAAAAGCAGTTGAAAAAAGCACAGATTGGATTAGCAGCCTGATCGTAGTGAAGAAACCGTCTGGAAAACTAAAAGTGTGCATTGATCCGAAACCTCTCAACAAGGCGCTCAAGAGGAGCCATTACCCACTTCCCACTGTTGAAGACGTGCTGCCAGATCTGAACAGAGCACGTGTGTTCTCTGTTTGTGATGTAAAAAATTGATTTTGGCATGTGGAACTGGAGGAGGAATCCAACTATCTCACCACGTTCTCTACTCCAATGGGACGCTACAGGTGGCTGCGCATGCCAATGGGAATCAGTCCAGCCCCAGAGATCTTTCAGAGGAAGTTGAACCAGGCAATGGAAGGTCTTTCAGGAGTCAAAATCATTGCAGATGACATCCTGATTGTGGGAGAAGGAGACAACGATGAAGCGGCGACTCTGGACCACGACAAAAACCTAAAAATGCTCCTGGACAGATGCAGGAAGCTCAATATCAAGCTGAATCTGGAGAAGCTGCAGCTCAGGCTGAAGGAAGTGCCCTACATTGGCCACCTGCTAACATCAGAGGGGTTGAAAGTGGACCCAGGAAAAGTGACAGCCATTAAACAGATGCCTAGGCCTACAGATGTGCAGGGGGTGCAGCGCTTCCTGGGCATGGTAAATTACCTAGCCAAGTTCTGCAGCCATGCCACGGAGCTCTGCGAGCCACTGCGACAGCTAACACACAAGGACTCACTGTGGGAGTGGTCAGAGAGACATGAGCAGGCTTTCAATAAAATCAGGGATACCATTGCACAGACCCCTGTGCTGAAATACTACAACCCAACAGAGCAGCTTGTACTACAGTGTGATGCTTCGGAGAGTGGGTTAGGAGCAGCCTTGATGCAGGGAGGACAACCAATAGCATACGCCAGCAGAGCCCTGACAGAGACTGAAAAAGGGTATGCACAGATATAGAAGGAGCAGCTTGCAGTGGTGTTTGGCATGGAGAGGTTCCACCAATTCACATATGGACGAACTGTGGAAGTGCAGTCAGATCACAAGCGTCTAGAGAGCATCATGACAAAGCCTCTCAGCGCACCAAAAAGACTACAACGCATGCTCATGAGACTCCAAAACTATGAGGTCAGTCTCCGATACGTTCCGGGAAAACATGTGGTTCTGGCCGACACCCTGAACAGGGCGAACCTCACAGAACAAGACAACAGAGGCCCTGTGGAGGTCGAAGTGGAATCAATCAATATGATACGCTACCTCCCTGGGTCAAGTCGAGAGACTAAAGCACATCCAGAGAGCCACTGAGCTGGACCGAGAGCTCCAGACACTGAAAAATATGATCCTGCAGGGGTGGCCTGAAGTGAAAGGTATGTACCCTTGGAAGTAGCCATGTATTTTCACAACAGAGATGAGCTGAGTGTGCAAAATGGAGTTATCTTCAGAGGTGAGCGAGCCGTTGTGCCTACTGCCCTCAGGTCAGAGATAATGCAGAGAATCCATTCCTCACACATAGGAACAGAGGGATGTCTGAGAAGAGCTCGCGAGTGTGTCTACTGGCCAGGCATGAATGCACAGCTGAGAACATACATGGCACAATGTAGCACCTGCACGGCATGGGGTATGAAGCAGCAGAAAGAAACGTTGAGGCCCCACAAAGCACCAAAGCGTCCCTGGGAAAAAATAGGGACTGACCTGTTCCAGTTCAACGACAGAGACTACATGGTCACAGTTGATTATCTCTCCAACTGTGGACCATTTGGAGAACACACAGTCGAAAACGGTCATTCGAAAACTGAAGACACACTTTGCACGCTATGGGATACCTGACATCCTTTACTCAGACAATCGTCCCCAGTACTCTTCAGACGAGTTCCGAAGTTTCAGTAAGGCTTGGGACTTTACACACAAAACATCGTCTCCAGGATACCCGCAAAGTAATGGGAAAGTGGAATCGGCAGTGAAAACAGCCAAAAGACTGATGGCAAAAGCAAAGAGAGCAGGTGCTGACCCATACCTGGCCATGCTGGATCACAGAAATACCCAGTCACAGGGAACAGACAGCAGCCCTGCAATGGTGCTCATGGGAAGACGTACAAAGACACTACTTATAATGAGTGAAAATCTT